AAACACTCCCTATCTAGTACCACATTTGAGTCTTTACCTTGTATCTGTCTTGTGGCGATTTTGAGTTGAGGAAGTTCCGACTGGTGTCCTGATTCAGAATGGCCACAGGGTTGTCTACTTGAATGTTGAATTGATCCAGGATAGCTGTTAATTCCTCTCGCTTCATAGAAATCACTTTACCTGGAAAATGTTATGTTAATAAATTACAGAAGATTTTGAAATTTTGCCAGGCGAATTCAGTACCACAATTAGTAAGAAATTCGAACAAAGAATCATGGATACAATTTTCATCTTTATGCATATTTAGAAAATTACATTTTTTTAAATTTTAAATCAGGAATGCTATCATAATGGGTTCAATGGATATTCTAGACATTGTCTGAGCATTAGACTTTTTTCATGATTAAACATAGGTGAACGCTTTTTTCGCGTTAGAAGTATTACCTTCCTTGGACTTGATTTTATAAGAAGAGGATCCGTCGCCTGTAAATTTCCTCTCAACAATGATCTTGTCTCCGTAGGTTTGAGATTTGTACGCGTCAGGCCCTCTGTTCCGGAGATGAATTTCTGTCTCTGCCATGTTTTTGCCGGACTTGATGAAACTTTTGATGGTGCTTCCTCTACTGGTAACGGACGCTTTTCCTCCCAATCCCACAACTAACGCTGTAACCACGGCACTCTTACCACCTGTCAATCAAAAGTAAAATGCATTACCACTCAGTCTGTTAGCATGGCAATCTTATCACCTGACAATCAAAACCAGATATTAATTACCACACCTCTTTTACCATGACACTCTTATCACTTGTCAATTAAAAACAATTCATTTTCATTTCATTTCTTTCTGAACGCACTCCATGGCAAACAAAACTTTATTTTGATGACATACTTCCATTTCTTCCCACGATAAAGTTGACATGCGGCCCCAATGATATTTCAAGTCTGCTGTGACACATGAAGTTTTTTAGACAGATTTTTTCCACAATGCCAATATCTGCTTCTCTCTGAAATGAAAATAAAATTATAGCAAGATTATTTTCTTTTCACATATTAACCCCAATTTATGGATCAAACCTCCCGATCACATTATTTTGATCACCACTGATCACCCCCTTGTGGGGAGGCATCTTTGTTTCCTCTTAATTTGACCCTAATCTACAAGTTGACCCACGATATTAAGGATTTTTTTTATTCTAAATGACTTTACAAAACTTTTAAATATTGAAATAATTTTCATAGCTTTTCCATTACTCATCAGAGTGCTATACCATTATCAATATTGATTGCAAGGTTTGTAGAGATGACCTGACTTACTGTGCTGACGTCGTAGTTTTTCCCCTACTCGTCAGAGTGTTACACCATTGACCATATTGATGGTAAGGTTTATATTCAGACTTACCGTGCTGACATCGTAGTTCTGCCGCTGACTTACCGTGTTGACGTCGTAGTTCTGCCACTGACTTACCGTGTTGAGGTTGTAGTTCTGTGGCTGACTTCCCGTATTGACGTCGTAGTTCTGCCACTGAGTGAGGTCCATCTCTTCTTCCTTCTCCTCCTCATCAGTCACTCTGCTACTTGGCCCCGCATGACTCGAAGGTTTCTTACGACTCGGCCCAGCTAACTCGCTTCCTTTACGCTTCGACATGGTCAACCCCGAGTCAGTCCTGATCTGTTCTGAAGTGGTAACCAATGATATAATATAACAGTCAGGTTTGGTACAATTACTTCATCTGCATGGCTTGATTTTCTTACAGAGTTAAAATTACTTGGCCATTCAAATTAGCAAATTAAGTTTTTTTTATTATTATGATTATGGGCCCGAACTCCACAACTAATGGTACTTCCAATGATTCTATTTTTTGACCAAAATGGAATCGATATTTTGCTGTTTCCCCTAAAAATAAAGAAGTGATTATAAATTTATTTTTCCCAATGTAAATTAAACTGAAATTATGGTTAAAGAAGTATTCTTGCTATAGTCAGTCGAAGTTGGTGCTTAATTCCCAGACATGAATTATGAAGCACTGTCCAGAGATTCTATGGGCGTCTAAGACCAAATATTTAGCCCAGCAGAATCTCAACCGAGATTAATATCGAACCCTGGGAAAGATTTCACAAATCATTTTGTTGTTTCTGGTCAGAGAATCAGAGAAAAATCAGTCAAAAATTTCTAGCATTGATGAATCTCACTGTGATAAGCCACGTCGTAAAACATATTAAACCAATGACAAGACCCAAGTAACTGTAGACAGTATAGTTGTTAGTCCGAGATTCCTCTGACTCTAACCCCCGATTTTATATTATGACTTGTGCGGGGGGGGGGGGGGGGTCAGAGCAGAGGCCATATTGAAAGGTGGAAATTCGGCAACAACAGCCTGTGTCGCAACTCTGCCTACCTTTTAGAACTTTATTTCGTGGAGCTAACTCCCGAGACGCGAGAAATCAGTAAAAATTATTATTCTCCAACTTGTTAATCTTCATTAAAAATATGCTTTCGCTGTTTAAACGGCCCTATCACCAACAAATGAAGCATCACTTCATGACGTCAGAACCCGAATCCATTCAGTTTGAAAGTAACACGTCCTCAAAATCACATGTGTGGCTTTCGGAAAAATATGAAAGTATTGTGAAAAAACACATAGAAACAACATAATGATGTTTTGTTTATTTAATGATAAGGAAAGCAACTGTCAAAAACTACTTCTATGCGGTTAAAAAATAGTATTAAGACCAAACATGATATTTTCTTGTGATAGTTTGTTTGTTTATTTGTGTGTGACGTCATGCGCAAAGAAGTCAGATGGCGAGGAGGCGACCTAATTAAAGTGATGCTTCATTTGTCAGTGATAGGGCCATTTAAATGGCGAAAACATCCTTTTTATACGGTTAACAAGTAGGAGAATAATAATTTTACTGATTTCTCGCATCTCGGGAGTTAGCTCCGCGAAATAAAGTTGTAAAAGGTAGGCAGAGTTGTGACACCGGGACACCAAATTCCCAGTTTACAATAAGCCTCCGCTTTTAACCCCCCCCCCCCCCCCCCCACCGCACAAGTCATAATATAAAAGCGGGAGTTAGAGTCAGAGGAATCTCGGATTATATAGTTGTGATCCAGGTTGTGTGGAAAATGCACCAAAATGGTACTAATAGGAGTTGCGTTTTATAATGAAAAATTGTTTCCAGATAGACAGACATACAGTTTTATAGCTGCAGAACTGTAGCTCTCTGCTTGAGAAAATTCTGACAGATAAAGAAGAGAGCTACAGATCCAACTGTTGTTAATACCTTCGATTTACGCCAACGATTTTTTGTCTTTACTTTAGATATTTATTTTGTATAGTTTGGCTCTCTGACTTTTAGAATGGTTTCCTATAATAATTCATATATTTAACTCTTATATTTGATACTCGTTTACCTTTTAACAGTCCGAAACAGTCCCGTATGTAGTTTTGTAATGTCGGTTTAAAAGAGTTCCATTTTAACATAAGTAACCACAAACAGCCATTTGTTAGCATTGAGAGGTAAGGAAATGATCAGGAATTGAAGTTGAATGTATGATTAGTTATTAAATACCATTTAAAATTATTTTCATAGCTGGGGAAAGTATAAAATGCACGAAAAAAAATACCCATAGTGAGCGACAAAAAATCGTCGGCGTAAATCGAAGATTTTTACAACCCTTGGATCTGTAGCTCTCTGCTTTATCTGTCAGAATTTTCTCAAGCAGAGAGCTACAGTTCTGCAGCTAACAGTTTTACAACTAACACCTTACTTATGCGAATGCTTGTCTCAGGAAAGCTAAAAGTAGTAATAATAAAACGTTTTACACATGTTTATGAACAAAAACTACCGCCAAAAATATTACATTCATCCAGGGACCTATTTACTGTTAGTATATAGGTCCCTGATTCATCCAATGTATTAAGTTAAATTTACCAAAAGATAGCTTTGGAGATTAATTTTACGATTGATTTGAAGTTTACAGAACAAGAATTCTTCCTTTCAAAAGTCGTCTGCGTTAAAAATACGCAGAAATTATCAAATAACTTTACCATTGACTAGATCATGTGGTAGACAGACTACTCGGCCCAACGACACCTCGGTCCGTGCTGGTTGACACCTCGGCCCTGACAGGTCGGCTCAAAATCATTGACACCTCGGCCCATACCGAAGACTGCTCGGCCCATTAGGAATAAAATTAAATTTAGTTTGTTTTACCAGGGAACTATTTTTTCTTGGATTTTCCCTGTCATGGTAATGTAAATGTTAGCTGCAGAACTGTAGCTTTCTGCTTGAGAAAATTTGGATAGATAGTATGTATTTTTAATCACTGTACGTTTACTATAAATATACGATAATTTTTGTTTTTTCTAACAAACCACAGCACAACATCAAATTACAATCTGTTGATTGGGAGGTAACAGGTCTATTTATTTATTGACTTTGTTGTTTATTACAATGCAACATATAATACATTATTAATATATTTATTAGCCATTTTAAAGAAAAAATGCGCATATTTTAATGCTTAATTTTAAAAACTCATATTTTTTTCAAATCAATTCAATAATGTCAACAATGGTTTCTTAATTAAAGGAACTTTTCATTAACATTAACTCCCAATTGTGGCTTCTCATAATTAACTCCTCATAGTCACCCCCCCCCCCCTTATGACACGCGCTCGAGACTCTAAAGGATGCACTGCGTCTTCTCGTTTGTTTAATGATTAGCACTTATAATCAAGTTAGTAAGTTACTAATGGATCGTCTTTCTTTGATTACCGTCAATTTGCCGTCTTGGAAGATTGCAAATGTACCAAATAATTTTTTTTTTGCATTTCATAGATATATAATAACATAAAAAATATAAATATTGAATTAAAATAATATATTTCTGTTTTGACCGAGGTGTCTTTTATGTGAGCCGAGGTGTCTTCAAATTTGGACCGAGCCGTCGGAGCCGAGATGTCAATGGGCCGAGGAGTCGTTGGGCCGAGGTGTCGTTAGGCCGAGCAGTCTGACATTCGGATGTAGATATCCAAGAGGAGTTGGACAGATGTCCATTACTTGTTGGGTTGTATTCTGATGAAGCAATTGAAGAAACCCAAGAAGGATTGGACAAGTGTCCATCACTGAAAACATAAATTTGTCACGTTGACCAGATTTGAAGTCATTTTCTTCCGTTCAGTTAGTCAATACATAATTTGACTATCTGTTTCCTCAACATTACCAGTCTCTGGTAAACTTTGACTTGTATCCTGGTCATTTTGTTTATATTGTTTGGCGGGAAGAAACAATAGCGTCGGTCGCCATTTTCCTCCCAGGAAAACACGAAGTGATGGTATGTCATGTTTTGTTGTTTTCTTGTTTTAGACAAATAATTCTATAAAAAAAACTTATTCAAAAAATGTTCTACAGAGAAATAATATTGTAATAAACAAAGTACTTGATATTTTTCATCAATTATTGTTGTATTTTACATTATTATGATACATGTAGGTTAGGATGTGGGTTGATTGTGTTCAAGCAGATTTTTGCATATTCAATTCATGCAAACAGTTCAAATCGAACTTGTTCTAAAATTCAACGATTATTTAATAGGTATTATTCTTTTACAACTCACAGTATGGCATGGACTCTCAACTTCCACTGAATGGACAAACAAATCAAAATACAATGCATTGTTACGAATATAGACAAGATGAAAACCACATTAAGTACACGAAGATGCTACCATGAATAGAAGAAATAAGGTAGGGTTACACGTACTGATAGCTTATATTTTCAGTATAATGGTGATTTACATAGAACTTGTTACTTTTTAACATTCTATTTTATAAAAGAAAATACAAATCGACTAGTCCGGGCACCCTAATGTACATGTCCTAACTCTCAATACTTTACTGGCCTGCTTCACCAAATATTATTCGTATTATTCCATGTATTTTGTTTATAATACATGTATATCATAAAGGCATTTAAAACAAAATCAGAATATGGTTTGTAGTTAATCCATTTCTGAGGAAAACAGCCAAACAAGAAGAAAACAGAACTGATGATGATTTCATTCCCATGTGCCATGTTTGCTAAGGTAAACGTAATTTTTTATTCATTTTAATTGTATGTATTAAACGACTAAAGGTACCCATTATTTTCTTCTTAATACTGCATATATAGCTACTAGTATTTAACTTAATTTATATCTTGATTTCCTTTCAATATAAATAAATTTGTTTTCATATACTTTACTTTTGCTATCAAGCAACTTATATAAGTAAATTAAGTAAATTATAAAGACTATTCTTCATTGCAGGACCTGTGAAATGATCAAAGAAGAAAACAACCAGTAAGCAGTTAATATATTCCTCTGAGGTAGGAAAACAAAGCAACAACGTAACTGAAAGGGTGCAACGAGGGACTGTTTCCTGAAGTTATTTCTTTGATTGATTAGAAATCATTTACAAACAGTAAAACTATTTTGCTTGAAAATATATAAATATCTATGTATGCTATATATGTAGATGTATATGATCTCTTAAATTTTTACAATGTTTATATGCAAATCTTATGTTGTTTTTTTTTTTTTTTTTACATTTTTGTAAGGTGATCAGTTTATTATTTGTGTATATTTGGTGCATGAAATAACCATATTTATGAAATTTTATAATAAATAGTTCAAACATTAGTTGTATAATTGTTATATTTTGTATTGTAGGGCATTGATGCGTGATAATCAAAATGATTTGACGCACAGTCATCATGATTTCCAATATCGTCAAAATGCCTAGAAATATAACTAATTGACAGTCATTTTGATATGAAATGATAATCACTTTGAATATCGGAATCTATCATTATGACAAGAATACAGTCAAATAAAATCGATATAGTGTACTCATGGTGACTTTTAATTAGTCAAGGTAGGCTATCGAGTTGGTCAGTATGATTTTTCTCGAGTCGTCAAAATGAACTTAACATATTGTCTAATTGACTAACTGCACCCTCATCTGGAGGACAATCAATCTGATTATTTTTTTAGGTCATGGTGACTAACTTATATTTTCAGTGATTACCTGTTGGGTGGGATGTAAATATCCAAGAGGAGTTGGACAAGTGTCAAAAACCTGTTGGTTGTATTTTGATGAGGAGATTCAAGAAACCCAAATAGAAATGGACAATGTACACATGTTCAATTGTTCTTGGGTAGTTTAATCTCTTCGTCAAAATACAACCCAACAGGTATTGGACACCTGTCCAATGCCTGTTGGATACCTTCATTCTGTCAAACATGTAATGGGCATTTGCTTATTATTAATTGGTCATGACTAAAAAAGGCTTCTCCTTAAATACTTAATTTTGTTATTCAAGAAAGGTTGAACAAAGTCTGAGATGTGTTGAGTTGTGTTTTCACAATTCAGTTTTTTGCACTTAGGTATTCATATATTTTAATATCAGATGTTTTAAAATATACAGGTGTATATCCTTATTGCGAAGATCAAATTAGTTAGGTGTTACAATAAAAGAGCTATATAACAGAAAATGTCAAAAATTCGGGTTCAAAACCAAAGGTTTTCAGTCTTGTCTGAATTTACCAGCAAATAATAAATATATAATAAATTTGAACTGAATAAGAAAACAATAAGAAAAAACCCAATAAAATACGGACACAGGATTAATTTAATATCCAATAAGATTTGAACAGTAACTAACCAAATAATGCTCTCTCGTGTGTACACTTTTTTTGTATCAAATAAGCAGTATCCAATAGGACTTGGACTTGATGTACCCAATATATAACCAAATATGTGTCCAGCCGTCTGTCCGTCCGTCCGTCTGTTACGCTTTTTCTCTTATCCTTATACAATTCAGTGAAATTTAATGAAACTTTTACAGCATCTTTATTACATATTGCCATTGTGCACCACCTATTTTACTTTTTTATTGGACATGTATTTTAAGTTTTCCATAGCAAAACACGGACATTGCTATTATATGTTTACCTATGAATTTACATATAGAAGCTTCTAGAAAACATTTGATAGACGAGTTATTCCTCTTAACACATTACCGTAAAACAATATATAGCAACTTATGGACATTATGTGAGGCGGGGGTATTATTTAGTGTGCTCATTGCTCACAGCACCTCTATAGCTAGTTAAAAATTAATTTGAAATTGTACTTAATAATAAATCATACATTAAACTTTTATTCCTAATTATTTACTTACCTTGTCTATACGCTAACAAATGGCTGTTTGTCACTTTGTGTTCACGGTCATAGAAAGGGATCTCTTTATACCGACATTGTTTACTCAGGTGACCTAAAAATGAACAAGAAGAAAGGGCTATGTTGGGTTACCTCAAATAACAGCCTTCTTATTTTAAAAACTATAGATGCTCTTTACCAGAGAAAGTGTGTGACCTTTTTTCATAACGTAAAATGATTATGACGTCATATTTCACCCAAGTCGACTGCACATCTAAATAATCAATAAAATTATAGCCTTTGTTTTAGCTATGCTTATTCATTTATTCATAAATTTATCTACTTGAAACTTAAATACATGTATTCATATAACAAACATGATGATTTATAACCAAGAGCCAAGCCAACACTTGGTTTGGAACCCAAAACAGCCTAGTTAGACTTTTACTTGACCCCTTTACCCCTCGGCCTATAAATGAACATGTTATCAATATAGCCTTATATTAAACCTGTAAATAATTAAAATAGTGTACATTTCCTAGTACATATATTACTTAAAATCAAACGAAAAATTATACATTTTAAGCAACGTTTATTTTTGTTTTGTTTTGCATTGATTGCGTATTGAGATGGTAGGAGGGGGGGTGATCACACAGAAAACGACAATGCGGACATGTATCGTCCTTAATTTTTGAGTTCACAGGCAAGGTATCAATCTAAAATTCCCCTTTTTACCAAATGATTGAAAGAAGTTACTCAAAAATTGGCTACTGACACAATTTGGTCCAATTACGTCTGATTGAGCTGAAATTCGCCAACTTAATAAAACGTGCTTTGTTAATTTAAACATGGTGCCCGCAATATCACCATCACAGTTTTTTGCATAAAGTGTGCTTTTAAACCATTGTTTCAATTGAGAAAATTTCAAAATGGTTATATGATTTTAAAGATTGCACTAATGTTAGTGGTTTTTGCCCCACCCAAAGGCCCCTGGGGGGCTGGGACCATGAAATTCACAATTTTTGTTCCCCTTCACCCATAAATGCTGTATATCAAATTTGGTTGAAATTGGTTCAGTAGTTTCAGAGAAGAAGCTGAAAATGTTCAAATGTTAACGCACAACGCACGCACGACGACGACGGACGAAAACGGATAGCAATAGGTCACCTGAGTTTACTCTTTTCCATTCTCAGTTCCTTTTTCAAGGAATGACAATATAACATTTCCATAGAAGGCAAAATAAAAGTACCTTTTGCAATGCCAATGACCTTGTTCCCAACTTTAATCCTGTCTACATTGTATTTCAATAATTTTTTAAGTCCTAGTTGATCTTTCTGAACAAGCTTTTTTCCAAATTCTTCTTTCATTGAGATAACAATGATAAAACTGTTTTCTGGACGCACTCCAACTTCCTCTATACAGCTTTTGTCACAGCCAGCTATTTCTGCTACCGTCTCGAACAATTCATCCTTTTCTACAAACTTATCTATGTCATCGTTTACATGCAACTGAACGTATACATGTCCATTCTCTGTAAACAACAAAAATGTATGAAAGGTAAAATATACGCAGAAACATGTTTTCTCATATACATTATCAGATGCTGACAAGTTTGGTGTCACTGGAAATCTAAGACTTTTGTGCTTAGGAATTTACAACTTAAGAATTTTTTACCATCTCTACAAAATCCAAGATGTGGAGATTGGCATATTATTGACACGCTGCTTTTATGTCAGTGATACTCCTCGAAGATGCAAAGAGTTAGAAGAAATACCTAATCTGAAAAATGTCGCCGGCGTGGCGCAGTGGTTAGAGAGTCCGCTCTAGAGTCGCGAAGTAAGGAGTCAATCCTTACGTCGAGGGTTCTAATTCCACTGTGGGACATGGAGACCGGTCCTTCGGATAAGACCATATAAACCGAGCCCCCGTGTCGCAGTGTCGCAAATACATCCCTGCTCAATGGCCTTGAGCGCAGAGCATGGGACAAATTTTGCAAATCTTCACCGGCAAGTGGTGGCGTCTCCATATGAGTGAAAAATCCTCGAGAGAGACGTTAAACAATATACAATGAATCAATCGATAAACTTAAAAATCATTTGATCATATTTTCTTCCAGAATTTGATATATAATGAATAAAACATGTACAACAGCCTGAGACACCGATATCAGCCAGATCGAGAGCCAAAGGCAGTACAGTAGGCCTTAATGCGCCTAAAGCATGCCACTGTATGGCTACTGTTTACTACAGACAATTACGGTAAACCCTAGTGTGTGCTACATGCAGTGCACCCATGTTTATGTTCATTGAAGCAAAAAGAAAAAGTTTACACACTCCCAGAGCACTGTACGATTACCTTAGACAGGTCAAGACCACTACCTTATATGGAAGCCAATTTTTAACACCTGACAATGTCTTCGTCACACCCGTTGTCCAATCAAGCCAGTGAGTCCCAAAGCATGACAGTCTATTATGTGTTTATTATTCAATGACGACACGTGGTTTTCGTCAGTTTACTGCACAATATTTACATCGTCACCGGAAAAACTGTAGAGCATCTTTGTCACTTTATAAAACCGAAATTGAAATATTATATTCTAAAGACATTGCTCCATACTCACATTTAATATTGGAGTTGTTTTAGATGATTAATAGTTGCTTCTAATACCGTAGAAACACTTTGACGTTTGCATGTACATAAAGCACTTTCTGATAATATTGTGGCGTAAAATAATAATTGCACACCTTCTCCTGCTGTCAAAAACCAAGGACCTATGTACTACATTCTAAAAGTTTGTTCACGTATATCACGTGGAGAAAAACGCAGTGTTTTATCGGCACGATAGCACCTACATGTACGTCTCTTTGAACAATGTTTATAGGCCGATGTTTTATAAGTTGATATAAGGCTTCATAGCGCAATTTTTGTAAATGTGAGCATAGAAATAAAAAATTATACATCATTTTAAATTTTTCTTTCACAAATTTAAAAAAAAAATTGGAAATAAGTTCCAAGGAACAATTCAAGTTTCCTTTAATTTTCAACATAGCTGGGAACTAGTAGTAGCCCACAATACATTGCGGTTCATTCAGCAGTAGGTAAAGTAAACAGATATGCAAATTTATGCTGACGTCAGAAATTTTAGTGGTCTCGACCTGTTAGATGTGGGATTATCAATTTAGTACATTTAGTTATTCACCTGAGAAATTTTTTTAACAAATTACAAACACATACACTGTAATTATCTTTTTT